GGCCGAGTGGTTAAGGCATTGGTCTTAAAATCTAAGATTTCGTGGATTCAAACCTTTCTCCTAGGTGTTACCTAAAAATTCTTTAAATGACTTTAAACTTCTTGGTTGTTGACTAAAATCGTAAGTCTCTGTGGAACTTAAGACTTTCAAATATAAAGGTTATAAAGCAAAGAAATCAATGACACCCTACATTTATTGGTATTTTGATGAAATTCCTATATGGAACCTTAAGGCTTGAATTTGTCTCCCAGGGCCAACAGTCGAAACCTCTTCATCAGAAATTTACTCGTTTTTAAAGTTTTAGTTGAGAGTTTGTGTGCAATTCACTGTGATATCAACCACCAGGATGGCCGAGTGGTTAAGGCGTTGGACTTAAGATCCAATGGGCAATTGCCCACGTGGGTTCAAACCCCACTCCTGGTATGCTACCATAAATTGTTAAATTGACTTTCAATCTCGCGGTTGTTGACTATTATTGCAAGACTCTATGGAAAGTATTAATTTGAAATGTAAACGTGAGCCATCAGTTAAGAAGTTTACAATCAACAGTTATGGACAGTGGTTGGGAAATCCCTACAATTGGAACTGTAAAAATTAAATGTGTCTCCCAGGCCAAACAGTCTTTACCTCTACAGCTAACTCTTGTCATACTTTTTCAAACTTTTGTTGGGAGATTATGTGAATTACCTAGCCACATCCAATTATCATGGTGGCCGAGTGGTTAAGGCATTGATCTTAAAATTTAAGTCTTTGTGGATTCAAACCTCTCTCCTGGTGTGTTACCTAAAACTTCTTTAAATGACTTTAAACTTCTTGGTTGTTGACTAAAATCGTAAGTCTCTGTGGAACTTAAGACTTTCAAATATAAAGGTTATAAAGCAAAGAAATCAATGACACCCTACATTTATTGGTATTTTGATGAAATTCCTATATGGAACCTTAAGGCTTGAATTTGTCTCCCAGGGCCAACAGTCGAAACCTCTTCATCAGAAATTTACTCGTTTTTAAAGTTTTAGTTGAGAGTTTGTGTGCAATTCACTGTGATATCAACCACCAGGATGGCCGAGTGGTTAAGGCGTTGGACTTAAGATCCAATGGGCAATTGCCCACGTGGGTTCAAACCCAACTCCTGGTATGCTACCATAAATTGTTAAATTGACTTTCAATCTCGCGGTTGTTGACTATTATTGCAAGACTCTATGGAAAGTATTAATTTGAAATGTAAACGCGAGCCATCAATTAAGAAGTTTACATTCAACAGTTATGGACAGTGGTTGGGAAATCCCTACAATTGGAACTGTAAAAATTAAATGTGTCTCCCAGGCCAAACAGTCTTTACCTCTACAGCTAACTCTTGTCATACTTTTTCAAACTTTTGTTGGGAGATTATGTGAATTACCTAGCCACGTCCAATTATCATGGTGGCCGAGTGGTTAAGGCATTGATCTTAAAATTTAAGTCTTTGTGGATTCAAACCTCTCTCCTGGTGTGTTACCTAAAACTTCTTTAAATGACTTTAAACTTCTTGGTTGTTGACTAAAATCGTAAGTCTCTGTGGAACTTAAGACTTTCAAATATAAAGGTTATAAAGCAATAAAATCAATGACACCCTACATTTCTTGGTATTTTTGATGAAATTCCTATATGGAACTGTAAGACTTAAATGTGTCTCCCAGGGCCAACAGGCTTAACCTCTTAACCAAAAATTGTTACCCTTTTTTAAACTTTTAGTTGTGAGTTTGTGGGAATTACTTTGTGAAAATAAGCACCAGGATGGCAGATTTTTTAAGCCGTTGGAATTAAGATCCAATGGCCGTAAGTCCTTGAGGGTTCAAACCCCACTCCTGGTATGCTACCATAAATTGTTAAATTGACTTTAAATCTCGTGGTTGTTGACCATTATTGCAAGACTCTGTGGAAACTATTAATTTGAAGTGTAAACGTGAGCCATCAATTAAGAAGTTTACATTCAACAGTTCTGGACAGTGGTTGGGAAAAACCCTACAATTTGAACTGTAAAAATGAATTGCGTCTCCCAGGCCCAACAGTCTGAACCTCTACAGCTAACTCTTGTCATACTTTTTCAAACTTTTGTTGGGAGATTATGTGAATTACCTAGCCACATCCAATTATCATGGTGGCCGAGTGGTTAAGGCATTGATCTTAAAATTTAAGTCTTTGTGGATTCAATTCTCTCTCCTGGTGTGTTACCTAAAAATTCTTTAAATGACTTTAAACTTCTTGGTTGTTGACTAAAATCGTAAGTCTCTGTGGAACTTAAGACTTTCAAATATAAAGGTTATAAAGCAATAAAATCAATGACACCCTACATTTCTTGGTATTTTTGATGAAATTCCTATATGGAACTGTAAGAATTAAATGTGTCTCCCAGGGCCAACAGTCTTAACCTCTTAACCAAAAATTGTTACCCTTTTTTAAACTTTTAGTTGTGAGTTTGTGGGAATTATTTTGTGAAAATAAGCACCAGGATGGCAGATTTTTTAAGCCGTTGGAATTAAGATCCAATGGCCGTAAGTCCTTGAGGGTTCAAACCCCACTCCTGGTATGATACCTAAAAATTGTTTAAATGATTCCAAACTTCTCAGTTGTTAACCATGATTGCAAGTCTCTGTGGAACCTAAGACTTTGATATATAAAGTTTATAAAGCAATAAAATAAAAAATTACACCCTACATTTATGGGTGTATTTAGATGAAATTCCTATATGGAACCTTAAGGCTTGAATTTGTCTCCCAGGGCCAACAGTCGAAACCTCTTCATCAGAAGTTTACTCGTTTTTAAAGTTTTAGTTGAGAGTTTGTGTGCAATTCAATGTGATATCAACCACCAGGATGGCCGAGTGGTTAAGGCGTTGGACTTAAGATCCAATGGGCAATTGCCCTCGTGGGTTCAAACCCCACTCCTGGTATGCTGCCATAAATTGTTAAATTGACTTTCAATCTGGCGGTTGTTGACCATTATTGCAAGACTCTGTGGAAACTATTAATTTGAAGTATAAACGGGAGCCATCTATTAAGAAGTTTACATTCAACAGTTATGGACAGTGGTTGGGAAATCCCTACAATTGGAACTGTAAAGATTAAATGTGTCTCCCAGGCCCTACAGTCTGAACCTCTACAGCTAACTCTTGTCATACTTTTTCAAACTTTTGTTGGGAGATTAAGTGAATTACCTAGCCACATCCAATTATCATGGTGGCCGAGTGGTTAAGGCATTGGTCTTAAAATCTAAGATTTCGTGGATTCAAACCTTTCTCCTAGTGTGTTACCTAAAAATTCTTTAAATGACTTTAAACTTCTTGGTTGTTGACTAAAATCGTAAGTCTCTGTGGAACTTAAGACTTTCAAATATAAAGGTTATAAAGCAATAAAATCAATGACACCCTACATTTCTTGGTATTTTTGATGAAATTCCTATATGGAACTGTAAGACTTAAATGTGTCTCCCAGGGCTAACAGTCTTATTAACCTCTTAACCAAAAATTGTTACCCTTTTTTAAACTTTTAGTTGTGAGTTTGTGGGAATTACTTTGTGAAAATAAGCACCAGGATGGCTGATTTTTTAAGCCGTTGGAATTAAGATCCAATGGCCGTAAGTCCTTGAGGGTTCAAACCCCACTCCTGGTATGATACCTAAAAATTGTTTAAATGATTCCAAACTTCTCAGTTGTTAACCATGATTGCAAGTCTCTGTGGAACCTAAGACTTTGATATATAAAGTTTATAAAGCAATAAAATAAAAAATTACACCCTACATTTATGGGTGTATTTTGATGAAATTCCTATATGGAACCTTAAGGCTTGAATTTGTCTCCCAGGGCCAACAGTCGAAACCTCCTCATCAGAAATTTATTCGTTTTTAAAGTTTTGGTTGAGAGTTTGTGTGAAATTCAAGGTGATATCAACCACCAGGATGGCCGAGTGGTTAAGGCGTTGGACTTAAGATCCAATGGGCAATTGCCCACGTGGGTTCAAACCCCACTCCTGGTATGCTACCATAAATTGTTAAATTTCAATCTCGTGGTTATTGACCATTATTGCAAGACTCTGTGGAAACTATTAATTTGAAGTGTAAATGTGATCCATCAATTAAGAAGTTTACATTCAACAGTTCTGGACAGTGGTTGGGAAAAACCCTACAATTTGAACTGTAAAAATGAATTGTGTCTCCCAGGCCCAACAGTCTGAACCTCTACAGCTAACTCTTGTCATACTTTTTCAAACTTTTGTTGGGAGATTATGTGAATTACCTAGCCACATCCAATTATCATGGTGGCCGAGTGGTTAAGGCATTGATCTTAAAATTTAAGTCTTTGTGGATTCAAACCTCTCTCCTGGTGTGTTACCTAAAAATTCTTTAAATGACTTTAAACTTCTTGGTTGTTGACTAAAATCGTAAGTCTGTGGAACTTAAGACTTTCAAATATAAAGGTTATAAAGCAATAAAATCAATGACACCCTACATTTCTTGGTATTTTTGATGAAATTCCTATATGGAACTGTAAGACTTAAATGTGTCTCCCAGGGCCAACAGTCTTAACCTCTTAACCAAAAATTGTTACCCTTTTTTAAACTTTTAGTTGTGAGTTTGTGGGAATTACTTTGTGAAAATAAGCACCAGGATGGCTGATTTTTTAAGCCGTTGGAATTAAGATCCAATGGCCGTAAGTCCTTGAGGGTTCAAACCCCACTCCTGGTATGATACCTAAAAATTGTTTAAATGATTCCAAACTTCTCAGTTGTTAACCATGATTGCAAGACTCTTTGGAACCTAAGACTTTGATATATAAAGTTTATAAAGCAATAAAATAAAAAAGTTACACCCTACATTTATGGGTGTATTTTGATGAAATTCCTATATGGAACCTTAAGGCTTGAATTTGTCTCCCAGGGCCAACAGTCGAAACCTCTTCATTAGAAATTTACTTGTTTTTAAAGTTTTAGTTGAGAGTTTGTGTGCAATTCAATGTGATATCAACCACCAGGATGGCCGAGTGGTTAAGGCGTTGGACATAAGATCCAATGTGCAATTGCCCTCGTGGGTTCAAACCCCACTCCTGCTATGCTACCATAAATTGTTAAATTGACTTTCAATCTCGCGGTTGTTGACCATTATTGCAAGACTCTGTGGAAACTATTAATTTGAAGTATAAACGGGAGCCATCTATTAAGAAGTTTACATTCAACAGTTATGGACAGTGGTTTGGAAATCCCTACAATTGGAACTGTAAAGATTAAATGTGTCTCCTAGCCCTACAGTCTGAACCTCTACAGCTAACTCTTGTCATACTTTTTCAAACTTTTGTTGGGAGATTAAGTGAATTACCTAGCCACATCCAATTATCATGGTGGCTGAGTGGTTAAGGCATTGGTCTTAAAATCTAACATTTTTTGGATTCAAACCTTTCTCCTAGTGTGTTACCTAAAAATTCTTTAAATGACTTTAAACTTCTTGGTTGTTGACTAAAATCTTAAGTCTCTGTGGAACTTAAGACTTTCAAATATAAAGGTTATAAAGCAATAAAATCAATGACACCCTACATTTTTGGGTATTTTTGATGAAATTCCTATATGGAACTGTAAGAATTAAATGTGTCTCCCAGGGCCAACAGTCTTAACCTCTTAACCAAAAATTGTTACCCTTTTTTAAACTTTTAGTTGTGAGTTTGTGGGAATTACTTTGTGAAAATAAGCACCAGGATGGCAGATTTTTTAAGCCGTTGGAATTAAGATCCAATGGCCGTAAGTCCTTGAGGGTTCCAACCCCACTCTTTTATGATACCTAAAAATTGTTTAAATGATTCCAAACTTCTCAGTTGTTAACCATGATTGCAAGTCTCTGTGGAACCTAAGACTTTGATATATAAAGTTTATAAAGCAATAAAATAAAAAATTACACCCTACATTTATGGGTGTATTTTGATGAAATTCCTATATGGAACCTTAAGGCTTGAATTTGTCTCCCAGGGCCAACAGTCGAAACCTCTTCATCAGAAATTTACTCGTTTTTAAAGTTTTAGTTGAGAGTTTGTGTGAAATTCGATGTGATATCAACCACCAGGATGGCCGAGTGGTTAAGGCGTTGGACTTAAGATCCAATGGGCAATTGCCCACGTGGGTTCAAACCCCACTCCTGGTATGCTACCATATATTGTTAAATTCACTTTAAATCTCGTGTTTGTTGACCATTATTGCAAGACTCTGTGGAAACTATTAATTTGAAGTGTAAATGTGAGCCATCAATTAAGAAGTTTACATTCAACAGTTCTGGACAGTGGTTGGGAAAAACCCTACAATTTGAACTGTAAAAATGAATTGCGTCTCCCAGGCCCAACAGTCTGAACCTCTACAGCTAACTCTTGTCATACTTTTTCAAACTTTTGTTGGGAGATTATGTGAATTACCTAGCCACATCCAATTATCATGGTGGCCGAGTGGTTAAGGCATTGATCTTAAAATTTAAGTCTTTGTGGATTCAAACCTCTCTCCTGGTGTGTTACCTAAAAATTCTTTAAATGACTTTAAACTTCTTGGTTGTTGACTAAAATCGTAAGTCTCTGTGGAACTTAAGACTTTCAAATATAAAGGTTATAAAGCAATAAAATCAATGACACCCTACATTTCTTGGTATTTTTGATGAAATTCCTATATGGAACTGTAAGACTTAAAAGTGTCTCCCAGGGCCAACAGTCTTAACCTCTTAACCAAAAATTGTTACCCTTTTTTAAACTTTTAGTTGTGAGTTTGTGGGAATTACTTTGTGAAAATAAGCACCAGGATGGCAGATTTTTTAAGCCGTTGGAATTAAGATCCAATGGCCGTAAGTCCTTGAGGGTTCAAACCCCACTCCTGGTATGATACCTAAAAATTGTTTAAATGATTCCAAACTTCTCAGTTGTTAACCATGATTGCAAGTCTCTGTGGAACCTAAGACTTTGATATATAAAGTTTATAAAGCAATAAAATAAAAAATTACACCCTACATTTATGGGTGTATTTTGATGAAATTCCTATATGGAACCTTAAGGCTTGAATTTGTCTCCCAGGGCCAACAGTCGAAACCTCCTCATCAGAAATTTATTCGTTTTTAAAGTTTTGGTTGAGAGTTTGTGTGAAATTCAAGGTGATATCAACCACCAGGATGGCCGAGTGGTTAAGGCGTTGGACTTAAGATCCAATGGGCAATTGCCCACGTGGGTTCAAACCCCACTCCTGGTATGCTACCATAAATTGTTAAATTTCAGTCTCGTGGTTGTTGACCATTATTGCAAGACTCTGTGGAAACTATTAATTTGAAGTGTAAATGTGATCCATCAATTAAGAAGTTTACATTCAACAGTTCTGGACAGTGGTTGGGAAAAACCCTACAATTTGAACTGTAAAAATGAATTGTGTCTCCCAGGCCCAACAGTCTGAACCTCTACAGCTAACTCTTGTCATACTTTTTCAAACTTTTGTTGGGAGATTATGTGAATTACCTAGCCACATCCAATTATCATGGTGGCCGAGTGGTTAAGGCATTGATCTTAAAATTTAAGTCTTTGTGGATTCAAACCTCTCTCCTGGTGTGTTACCTAAAAATTCTTTAAATGACTTTAAACTTCTTGGTTGTTGACTAAAATCGTAAGTCTGTGGAACTTAAGACTTTCAAATATAAAGGTTATAAAGCAATAAAATCAATGACACCCTACATTTCTTGGTATTTTTGATGAAATTCCTATATGGAACTGTAAGACTTAAATGTGTCTCCCAGGGCCAACAGTCTTAACCTCTTAACCAAAAATTGTTACCCTTTTTTAAACTTTTAGTTGTGAGTTTGTGGGAATTACTTTGTGAAAATAAGCACCAGGATGGCTGATTTTTTAAGCCGTTGGAATTAAGATCCAATGGCCGTAAGTCCTTGAGGGTTCAAACCCCACTCCTGGTATGATACCTAAAAATTGTTTAAATGATTCCAAACTTCTCAGTTGTTAACCATGATTGCAAGACTCTTTGGAACCTAAGACTTTGATATATAAAGTTTATAAAGCAATAAAATAAAAAAGTTACACCCTACATTTATGGGTGTATTTTGATGAAATTCCTATATGGAACCTTAAGGCTTGAATTTGTCTCCCAGGGCCAACAGTCGAAACCTCTTCATCAGAAATTTACTTGTTTTTAAAGTTTTAGTTGAGAGTTTGTGTGCAATTCAATGTGATATCAACCACCAGGATGGCCGAGTGGTTAAGGCGTTGGACATAAGATCCAATGTGCAATTGCCCTCGTGGGTTCAAACCCCACTCCTGCTATGCTACCATAAATTGTTAAATTGACTTTCAATCTCGCGGTTGTTGACCATTATTGCAAGACTCTGTGGAAACTATTAATTTGAAGTATAAACGGGAGCCATCTATTAAGAAGTTTACATTCAACAGTTATGGACAGTGGTTTGGAAATCCCTACAATTGGAACTGTAAAGATTAAATGTGTCTCCTAGCCCTACAGTCTGAACCTCTACAGCTAACTCTTGTCATACTTTTTCAAACTTTTGTTGGGAGATTAAGTGAATTACCTAGCCACATCCAATTATCATGGTGGCTGAGTGGTTAAGGCATTGGTCTTAAAATCTAACATTTTTTGGATTCAAACCTTTCTCCTAGTGTGTTACCTAAAAATTCTTTAAATGACTTTAAACTTCTTGGTTGTTGACTAAAATCTTAAGTCTCTGTGGAACTTAAGACTTTCAAATATAAAGGTTATAAAGCAATAAAATCAATGACACCCTACATTTTTGGGTATTTTTGATGAAATTCCTATATGGAACTGTAAGACTTAAATGTGTCTCCCAGGGCCAACAGTCTTAACCTCTTAACCAAAAATTGTTACCCTTTTTTAAACTTTTAGTTGTGAGTTTGTGGGAATTACTTTGTGAAAATAAGCAGCAGGATGGCAGATTTTTTAAGCCGTTGGAATTAAGATCCAATGGCCGTAAGTCCTTGAGGGTTCCAACCCCACTCCTTTTATGATACCTAAAAATTGTTTAAATGATTCCAAACTTCTCAGTTGTTAACCATGATTGCAAGTCTCTGTGGAACCTAAGACTTTGATATATAAAGTTTATAAAGCAATAAAATAAAAAATTACACCCTACATTTATGGGTGTATTTTGATGAAATTCCTATATGGAACCTTAAGGCTTGAATTTGTCTCCCAGGGCCAACAGTCGAAACCTCTTCATCAGAAATTTACTCGTTTTTAAAGTTTTAGTTGAGAGTTTGTGTGAAATTCGATGTGATATCAACCACCAGGATGGCCGAGTGGTTAAGGCGTTGGACTTAAGATCCAATGGGCAATTGCCCACGTGGGTTCAAACCGCACTCCTGGTATGCTACCATAAATTGTTAAATTCACTTTAAATCTCGTGTTTGTTGACCATTATTGCAAGACTCTGTGGAAACTATTAATTTGAAGTGTAAATGTGAGCCATCAATTAAGAAGTTTACATTCAACAGTTCTGGACAGTGGTTGGGAAAAACCCTACAATTTGAACTGTAAAAATGAATTGCGTCTCCCAGGCCCAACAGTCTGAACCTCTACAGCTAACTCTTGTCATACTTTTTCAAACTTTTGTTGGGAGATTATGTGAATTACCTAGCCACATCCAATTATCATGGTGGCCGAGTGGTTAAGGCATTGATCTTAAAATTTAAGTCTTTGTGGATTCAAACCTCTCTCCTGGTGTGTTACCTAAAAATTCTTTAAATGACTTTAAACTTCTTGGTTGTTGACTAAAATCGTAAGTCTCTGTGGAACTTAAGACTTTCAAATATAAAGGTTATAAAGCAATGAAATCAATGACACCCTACATTTCTTGGTATTTTTGATGAAATTCCTATATGGAACTGTAAGACTTAAAAGTGTCTCCCAGGGCCAACAGTCTTAACCTCTTAACCAAAAATTGTTACCCTTTTTTAAACTTTTAGTTGTGAGTTTGTGGGAATTACTTTGTGAAAATAAGCACCAGGATGGCAGATTTTTTAAGCCGTTGGAATTAAGATCCAATGGCCGTAAGTCCTTGAGG